TTATTTTTACCATAAAATTGTAAAATACATGAACTGGAATATAAATATTGTCCTATATGGAAGCTGGCCACCCCAGCTGGCCATCTCCAGACGAAGCCCTGGCGGATCCTGCGCCGGCTCTGCCCATAATGGATGCTCGTACTCACCAGGACCTGCTGAGGCGACTGGCCTCCAACTTGGGTGTCCCAGTGGAGCCAGTAGTGGAAGATATGGACCCCATGGTGGATATCCTCACCGAGGACGCTCCCACCCGTTTGGCTCTTCCTCTTAACAAGACAGTGGCCAAGGTTACTAATGCCCTGTGGCAGACCCCGGCAACCTTGACGCCCACTTTGAAGGGCGTCGAGAGACGGTATTATGTTCCCCAGCTGGGGCATGAGTACCTTTACACCCAGCCCACTCCGGGGTTCTTGGTGGTGCAGGCGGCAGCCCAAAAGGAGAGGCTCCCCCAACCGGGTCCGTCCCTGAAGGCAAGGGAGCCCAAGCGCCTTGATTTAATGGGCCGCAAAGTTTATGCCACTGGGGTGGTGCAACTCCACATCACTAACCAACAGGCGATGTTGAGCTGCAACGCGTTTAACACGTGGAGGGCTGTAGAGAAATTTAAAGACAAACTGTCTGCCGAGGACCACCAGGAGTTCGCGGCCTTGTCCGCAGAAGGGAAGATCATTGCCCGAACGGTCCTCCAGGGCTTCCCTGGACGCTGTCGACTGCAGCCCGCACCATGGCGTTGGGTGTCGTCATGCGCCGTGGTGCCTGGCTGCAGGTTTCCGGGATCCCGCCGGATGTACAAAACACCATTCTGGACTTGCCCTTATTTTCGGAGCATACTGACTCCAGGCTCCATACCCTTAAGGACACTAGGTCCACCCTTCGCTCGTTGGACATTCATACCTCTGCCCCTCAGTGTCACCAGTTGCCCTACAGGCAGCAGGGGAGGATGCAGTCCCAGGTCCCCTGTGGGGATTACTGGAGACGCCACTCTCGGGCCTCTGGTGGAGGTTCCGGAGCGGCTGCGCCTCCCCAGGGCACTAGGGGTCGCTGCCGCCGCCCTAGGGCAGAGAACCAGCGTGGAGCATCCCAAGGCTCTTCCCATCAGCCCAAGCAGCAATTTTGACTGCTAGAGAATTGCACACCAGTCTCCCACCCTGGCCCCCCATTTGGGGCCAGGCTATCCCAGTTTGCCCATGTTTGGGCACAAATCACGACGGCCGCCTGGGCCTTGAAAATAGTAAATGACGGCTATACCATCCCCTTTTTGGGCCGGCCTCCTTCCAAACCCCCCTTCCCCGTCCCCTTTCAGGGAAACCCCTCACGAACATACCCTGTGTCAGGAGGTGTCGGCGCTCCTTGCAAAGGGAGCAGTAGAGAAGATCCCCCTACATCTGCGGAGACGGGGATTCTATTCCCGATATTTTATTGTCCCCAAACCAAAGGGAGGAGTACATCCCATTTTGGACCTCAGAGATCTAAACAAGGCGGTTGTGAAACACAAATTCAGAATAGTAACGTTAGCCTCAGTTATTCCAGTGCTACAGCTAGGAGACTGGTACGCAACTCTCGATCTCAAGGACACGTACTTCCACGTAGCAATAAGACCCAGCCACAGGAGGTTTCTCAGGTTCACTGTTGCCCAGCACCATTTTCAGTTTACGGTGCTCCCCTTTGGCCTATCAATGGCATCCAGGGTTTTCACCAAGTGCATGGCAGTCGTTGCTGCATTCCTCCGCAAGCAAGGGGTGCACATGTTTTCGTACCTCGATGACTGGCTAATCCATGGTCGCTCCTACGAGCAGGTAGAGGCTCATGTGTGATTCACAAGAGCCCTCTTTGTGAAGCTTGGTCTCATGCTGAACGAGGAAAAGTCATCCCTGACTCCCTCACAGCATCTTGAATTTGTGGGTGCCCTCCTGGACGCCAGGGTAGCAAGAGCTTTCCTCCCCAGAAGCAGGTTCCTCTCCATAGTGGAGTTGATTTCCGGGTTAACCCGATCCCCGATCACGACTCCTCGGGTTTGTTTGAGGCTCCTGGGTCATATGGCGGCGTGTACATACACAGTGCGCCACGCCCGAATGAGGATGAGGCCTCTACAGGCCTGGTTGGCAAAGGCCTTCAGTCAGTCCTGGGGTCTTTGGGACTCAATCCTCACAGTGCCCCCAGATGTCCTAGCCTCCATACAGTGGTGGACCCAGGAGGCGGTGGTGTGCAGCGGGGTCCCGTTCAACGCCCCTCCTCCCTCACTTACACTGGTCACAGATGCCTCCGACCTGGGCTGGGGGGTACACCTGGGACAACACAGGACTCAGGGACTATGGTCCTCTGCAGAGTGGACCCTTCATATAAACGTCCGGGAACTGTGAGCGGTGAGAAGAGCCTGCGAAACCTTCCTGTCAAAGCTCTCTCACCACTCGGTCCTGGTTCGTTTAGACAACACAGCGGCTGTTTTCTACCTCAACAAGCAGGGGGGAGCCCCTTCACCTCCCCTCTGCTGAGAGGCCCTGCTCCTGTGGCACCTGTGTGTGGAACATGATATTACCCTGCAGGCGGAGTACCTGCCGGGGTGCAAGAATCTGCTGGCAGACACTCTCAGCAGATCCTTTGGAGCCCACGAGTGGTCACTCAAGGACTCAGTCCTTTGTCAGGTTTTTCGCAGGTGGGTTATCCCCTTCTAGATTTGTTTGCCTCGGCACACAATACCAAGTGTCAGAGCTACTGTTCCCTGCTGGGGCTGGGGAAACACTCCTGGGAGGATGCCATGACGGCCATGTGGCTGGAGGGCATCCTTTATGCCTTTCCCCCCTTTCCACTAATTTCCAGGGTTCTGACCAGGGCAAGGACCTTCCGATCCGCGGTCATCCTGATAGCCCCCTGGTGGCCCAGACAGTTCTGGTTCCCCATTCTGGTAGACATGCTCACCGAGGAGCCTATAACGCTCCCGCCAGTCCAAGACCTTTTGACCCAACTGTGGGACGGGGGGACCATGGTTCACCCGAATCTCAGGTCTCTTCACCTAACGGCCTGGTTTATCCATGGCTGAACCAACCAGAAAGGGAATGTTCCCGGGAAGTTCAGATGGTGCTCCTCAGTGAAGGGGAGTGCGCCTGTCCTGTGCCCCGGTCCCAGCCATTTTGGACTATCTTTTCGACCTTCGGTCTAATGGCCTTTCTATCTCTTCTATTAAAGTCCATGTGGCGTCTCTCTCCGCCTTCCATGTGGGTACGGCAGGAGTTTCTCTCTTCTCGGACACAGTGGTTAAAAGGTTCCTTATGGGTCTGGAGAAACTGTACCCTTCGGTTAGGCCCCCGCTTCCCGCCTGGGACCTCAACCTGGTGTTACGCAAACTTATGTCACCCCCCTTTGAGCCGTTAGCTATGTGTTCCCTGAAGCAGCTCTCCTGGAACATTGCTTTCATTGTGGCCATTACGTTGGCTGGTAGGGTTTCCGAACTGAGGGCGTTGACTATAAACCCGCCCTACCTGCTGTTTTCAGATAATAATGTGAGGCTCCGCCCTCACCCGGCCTTTCTCCCCAAGGTGGTGTCACCGTTCCACTTGTCTCAGGAAATTTACCTCCTGATTTTCTTTCCAAAACCCCATGCCTCCCCCAAGGAGCAGGTGCTCTATTCCCTGGATGCTAGATGAGCGCTAGCGTTCTACATCGATAGGACCAAGCCCTTTCACAGATCCCAACAGCTGTTCATTGCTTTCGGAGACAGGGTAAAATGGTTACCTATTTCGACCCAGAGGCTGTCAAACTGGGTCGTGGAGTGTATCAGGGAGTGTTATGTACTGGCCGGCAAGACACTGCCCCGGGTTACAGAGCACTCTACCAGGGCGCAGGTGTCCTCAGTAGTGTTTGGGGCTCAGATACCAATTACTGAGATTTGCAGGGCAGCCACATGGTCGTCCCCTCCATACCTTTACGGCGCACTATGCGCTAGCACAACAGGCCAGGGAGGACGCAGGGGTGGGCTCTGCAGTCCTCCATTCTGTGGTGTAAATATGTTTGGATATCACTGTCTCTTTGCACTTGCCTTTTCTGTGTTTATCTGGTCGAATAAATTTGTTGGGTTTATTCAACATTTGCATGAGTTTTTGTTGTCTGACTGTTCCAACCCTTCCTCCTTGATGTGGGGTTGGCTTGGAAGTCATCTACTTCGAATGGACATGAGCAACCACTCGAAGAATAAAAGAACAGTTACTTACCTGTAACTGTTGTTCTTCGAGATGTGTTGCTCATGTCCATTCGACTGCCACCCTACTTCCCCTTCATCGGAGTGTCCGGCAAGAAGGAACTGAGGAGGGGCAGCGCCGGCAGGGGTACTTATGCCCTGCCATGGTGGCACCACTCCATGGGGCACCCTGCCGGCGCTACGGGTACCACTAGGGAAAATGCTCCGGAAGATGCGGTGCACGCGGTGCGCACACCTACTTCGAATGGACATGAGCAACACATCTCGAAGAACAACAGTTACAGGTAAGTAACCGTTCTTTTCTTCCCCCATCGGGAATTTACTGTTGGGGACGTGCCAATGCCCACGTGTGTTGTGGGGGACGCGGCCTACCCCAGCTAATGCGGCCCTACACGGGGCGGATGGACCACAACCGGGCACGGTTCAACGACCGCCTCAACCGGGCCCGCAACCAAGTCGAGTGTGCCTTCTGGCGTCTGAAAGCCCGGTTCCGCTGTTTGCTCACCCGTCTGGAGGTAGTGGCCTCATGCTGCGTGCTCCACAATCTCGTGGAGCGAAAGGGAGAGGCCTTCCTCCCGGCATGGATAGCAGGTAAGGGCCAGGCCTTCGAACAGCCCCTCAAAGCTGCCATCCGCCAGGTGCACAGCGATGGGGTGAGCATCCGGGAGGCCCTGATGGAGAAGTTCTCCCAGGCTCCATAGTAGGGTCGCCTCTGTCTCCCTTGATATCTCCCTCCCATCCCCAACCTCTCCCTCCTCCCCTCACCTTACCTCCCAATAAACAACCAACATAAGTTTTTTTGGAACACAACATTTCAAACTTTATATTTACAATGGATGGGGGGGATGTAGTGTGGGAGGGGGGAGGAGGCTCTCACCTGGGAGGGGGAAGCTACTGCTGGGAGGGGTGGCCCCTGCGACTGCCTCTGCAGAGGCGGACTTGGACAAGGGGATCAGGCCACGTTGGGGCAAGTAGCACGGAGAGGTGGGTAGGAGAAGGAGGGGGCATTGCGGGATCAGGAGGAGCAGGGGGCATTGCGGGAGCAGGAGGGGCGGGAGCAGGAGGGGCAGGAGGAGGAGGAGGAGGAGGAGGAGGGGACACGGGCATTGCTATGGGAGGGATGGCGGGTGGATGGGGCACTGCCATGCTGTAGTGCACGGCATGCCCAATGTGAGAGGTGAGAGCAGTGATTGCATCTGCCACTCGCTCACATTGGGCCTGGAAGTGGCCCCAGGCCTGCTGGCACCACTCAACGTCTGCCTCCACCCGCCGGGTGATGGCCACCTCAATGCACTCGATGGTCTGCACATGCCGCTGAAGCAGTTGGTCCCACTGCCGGACTCGCCGGCTTTGGGCTTGGGTGGTTGAGGGTGCTGCCGCTGCCGCAGGACTAGAGGGTCCCCCGCTCCTGCTCGGTCCCGCTGCAGGGAACAGAGGAAAGGATGGGTCAGTCAGGCAGCCCAGCCATGGTCCCCGCATCCTATGCCCTCCGCCCCTGAGGCCAGGTGACACCACGGGACTGTGGCTTAGGCCCACTCTCTCTCCCCCCCGTCCTACTCGCCCCCCCCCGTGTTGCATGTTTGCATACAGCACTGCCCCCGAGAAGGGCGCTCCTCCATGTATTGTAACCACCGGTCTGTGTCCTGGCTCCTTGGGGGGTGGGAGGGTGCTTGTGTTGTGTTAACCTGTGGTACTCCCTGCCAGAGGAGGCTGTGAGGCTTTGGGCTAATCAATGGTGTTTGACAGGGAGCAAGATGAATCCCCATACAGTACCTGGGAGCACATCTGGCAGACGTGGTCTGGGCTCTCAGATCCCCATCACGTGGATGTCCCCTGGACAGAACCAGGGGTGCCTGGGGAGTGTACCATCCTTGGAGCGAAACTCAAGTGGCCCTAGGGCCAGCCCGAGCACTTCCCCTCCTGCTAGCCCTCACACACGTAGCCCAGGGACGTGTGTGGTCGCAGTGGGGACTTCTCTTGGGGGGCCAGCCAAGGCACCGGGAGCAGATGAGGGGCTCAGTGGGGGCCACACTCACAAGGCAGTGACGCTGTGGTTTTCCCAGCAGCAGCTGGCTGTGCCTCATCGCCAGGCATGGGACAGTGTGCCGTTCTGCGTGCTGCAGCCTTGAGGAGCTGTGGGCTGTGGCCTGAGCCCCTGGGGCCCTGGCCGGATCCAGCCGGCATCCACCCTTCCCCCCTGGTCCAGACGTGAGTGAGCAGCACGGTCCCAGACATGACCTGGAGCTGCCTGCCGCAGCCACGTGCCGCTCGGTCACCAGGCTGCACGTGGCTGTACATGCTGCATATTGCTAATGCTACACAGCGTGCAGCTCACACTGCCTAAGTAATGCTTCCTCCTCCTCCCCACCCTGGATGCCTGGCTTCCACCCGCCCTTGTGAGTGCAAAATGCAACACTCACCAGTGGATCCTTCCCCAGACTCTGAGAATGCACAGGAGACATCAGGGCTGCCAGAGAGGGCCTCCACCTGGAGGATCCCACTGCTCCCCTGGTCCTCCTCGTCCTCCGACCCACTGGGCAGCTGTTCTTCCTCCCCTGCCTCACTGGACCTGGTGACGGGGGGAGGTGGCGCCTGCTGGTGTCCACAGGAACCGAGGGTCCCTGGGATGGTGCCTGGCCCAGGATGCCGTGGAGCCACTGGTAGTGCGGGCAGGTGTCGGCTCCTGCCCCCTGGCCCTCGCTGGCCCGGACGTAGCCCAGGCACAGCTCTTTCACCTTAGCCTGGACCTGCTCGAGGGTCCAGGCTGGATGACCCTGGTCAGAGAGCACCTGGGCCATGCGGCGGGAAATGTCCACGTTGCGCTGACTGGGTGGCAGAAGGGCTTCTGCCTCGTGGCCTCTGCAGGCTGCGTCTGCCTTTAAGGGGGCTCGGGTTACCAGGAAGTCCGGGAGCTGCCTGCAGGTACAGAGCGGCCAAGCGGCCACTAAGGCTTATTTCTGTTGAGGCTGCTTTTGCGCAAAATGTCTTGGCTGCCTGTCTACACTGGCCTCTTGCGCAAGAAGCACTGATTTCTTACATTATAAAGTCGGTGTTCTTGCACAAGAACTCACGGCCAATGTAGACAGAGAGCAAGTTTTTGCGGAAAACCATCTGCTTTTGCGCAAAATCTTACTAATGTAGACACAGCCTGTATGTTCCATCATTACTAGATAGCACTAAGCTACAGTTCTATGAATATGTATGAAAGATATACATGTAGGCTGTGTCTAGATTGGCCAGTTTTTTCAGAAAATCAGCCGCTTTTCCGGAAAAACTTGCCAGCTAGCTGTCTACACTGGCTGCTTGAATTTCCGCAAAAGCACTGACGATCTCATGTAAGATTGTCAGTGTTCTTGCAGAAATACTATGATGCTCCCGTTCAGGCAAAAGTCCTTTTGAGCAAAACTTTTGCGCAAAAGGGCCAGTGTAGACAGCTCAGATTTGTATTCCACAAAAAAGCCCCAATCGCGAAAATGGTGATCAGGGCTTTTTTGCGGAAAAGCGTCCATGCCAATCTAGACGTTCTGTTCCGAAAATGCTTTTAACGGAAAACTTTTCAGTTAAAAGCATTTCCAGAAAATCATGCCAGTCTAGACGTAGCCGTAAGATATACATGTATCATGTAAAATAAGAAGAGGTTACTCACGTTGTGTAGTAACAATGGTTCTTCGAGATGTGTCCCCGTGGGTGCTCCACTCAAGGTGTTGGGTCCCGACCCGGCGCTGCTAGTCAGAGATTTCCAGAGCCGTAGCCGGGCTGGACCGTGCATGCCTGAGAGCAGCGCGTGGCATTCGCGCCTTTGCAATGTCTCGCGGTCCGGCCCCCCCTCGTCAGTTCCTCTCACCGCTCGGTCTCTGAAAGATAAAGCAGAAAGACCCGGAGCGGGAAGGAGGGTGGGTCGTGGAGCACCAACGGGGACACATCTCGAAGAACCATCATTACTACACAACGTGAGTAACCTCTTCTTCTTCGAGTGGTCCCCGTGGGTGCTCCATTCAAGGTGACTACAAAGCAGTAACCCAGAATGCGCTCCGGGTCAGTTATTTTCTACTGTGGATAGAACCGCAGAGGCCACCGCGGCATCTGAAGCCTACCTCCTAGTTATGGCATAATGATGCGCAAAAGTTACACTAGAGACCCAGGTAGCCGCGCGGAAGATATCCGCAAGGGGAACTCCCCTTGCAAAAGCTGTGGAGGTTGCTACTGATCTCGTAGAGTGAGCCCAAGGTAAAGAAGGAAGAGGTTTGTTCCAAATCGAATGGCAACTTGTAATACAAAGAGTAATTAGTTTTGCAATGCGCTGAGTGGAAAGTGCCTTGCCCTTGGATTTCTGTGCCATAGATACGAACAGCCTGTCCATGCGCCGCCATTGGCGGGGTCTGTCTATATAGAAAGAAAGCGCACGTCGGACATCGAGGGTGTGGAAAACAGCATCCTTACTTGAGGAGTGAGGCTTGGGGTAAAAAGCTGAGAGGACAATAGGCTCGTTAATGTGAAAGGAAGAGCAGACTTTGGGAATAAAGTCCGGCTGTAATCGTAGCATTACCGTGTCTTTGGAAAAAAACGTAAAAAGAGGGCTTGCCATCAACGCCCCCAGTTCACTCACCCTTCTCGCTGATGTAATTGCAAGTAGAAAGACGGTTTTCATGGTTAGCATATGTAAAGAAACCGACGCTAGAGGCTCAAAGGGAGGATACATAATGGTATCCAACACTAAATCAAGATTCCAAGAAGGGGGAGGCGCCCTTCGTGGTGGGTATAAATTCATGAGCCCCTTTAAGAACCTCTTTGTAATTAGATGAGAGAAGAGCGAGGAACCCTCTGCTGGATGGTGGAAGGCACTAATAGCTACTAAGTGCACCTTTAAAGATGATAGTGCAAGTCCCGAATTTCGTAGATGAAGAATGTAATCAAAAACGGGATGCAGAGGAGATGAGAGAGGCTGTATGTTATTTTGAAGGCACCACTTAGAAAATCTCTGCCACTTTGCAAGGTAAGTGTTCCACGTAGACTCTTTCCTGCTATGTAGAAGTATGGCTTTGACCTGTTCAGAGCACAGGTTTTCATCTCCTTTTAACCATTCAGGAGCCACACCGTCAGATGTAATGCCTGAAGTCTGGGGTGTAACAGAGAGCCTTGTTCCTGAGAAAGAAGATCTTGGTGGAGAGGAAGGAGGTATGGTGGCTGAATCGACATTTTGTGTAAAAATGGATACCAAGCTTGCCTGGGCCAGGCTGGTGCTAGCAAAATGACAGTCGCCGCTTCTGCTCTGATTTTCTCCAGTGTTCTGGAGATGAGGGCCATAGGGGGAAAAGCATACAGAAGTGCCTTCTTCCATCTGACCAGAAGCGCATCGCCGAATGAGCCCTTGCCGAGCCCTGCTCTGGAGCAATATAGGCGACACTTCCTGTTGTTGGATGTTGCGAATAGGTCTACGAGGGGAATACCCCATCTGTGAAATATCGCACGAAGTACATCTGCCCTTATTTCCCACTCGTGGTCTGTGGGGAAAACGTCTGCTGAGGGAATCTGCAATTACATTGGGGGTGCCAGGTAAGTACGATGCTATTATGGTTACGTTGTTCTGTATGCACCAATTCCAACACCGCACTGCTTCGGCGCATAGGGAGCGTGATCATGCTCCTCCCTGCCTGTTCACATAATACATCGCTGCTACATTGTCTGTCAGTATCCTTACTGAAAGACCTTCGATATGCGGGAGAAAATGTTTGCATGCATAGAAAATTGCCCGGAGCTCCAATTGATTGATGTGAAGACGCCTCTCACTGAGAGACCATTTGCCTTGGGTTCGTTCATTGCCCGTGTGGGCACCCCAGCCAATGAGTGAGGCATCTGACGTTCTCTGTACCGATGGTTGTTGTCGGTGGAATGGAACTCCCAGCAGAAGATTTTGCGGCTTCGTCCACCAACGCAGAGATCTTTGAACATGTGAAGGTAGCCATACTACTTTGTGAATGTCGTGCCTCATGGGAACATAAACCGTGGACAGCCAATGTTGGAGGTTCCTCAGGTGAAGCCGCACATGAGGAACTACAATGGTGGCAGCCACCATGTGACCCAGGAGACGAAGGCAATTGTGAACCGAGACACTCACATTCCTGTTGAGTACGGTAACGAGGTCTTTGATCGCTTGAAATCTTTCCTGAGGTAAGTATGCCCTCGCCGTGCGCGAATCGAGGTTTGCCCCTATAAACTTTATGGATTGCGTCGGAGTAAGTGTTGATTTCTGCTTGTTCAGGAGGAGACCGAGGGATTCGAATGTTTGTTCGATCATCGCCACCATCTGCGACGCCTCTTGCTCCGTGGAACCTTTTATTAAGCAATCGTCCAGGTACGGGTATATTATCACCTATAGCCAACGCAGATGAGCTGCTACGACAGCCAGGGTTATTGAGAAAGCTCTGGGTGCTGAAGCAAGACCGAATAGCAGAACCTGATACTGAAAATTATCGTGGCTTATCACAAATCATAGAAACTGTCTGTGAGCGGGATGAATTGCGATGTGAAAGTACGCATCTTGTAAATCGAGGGCAGCGAACCAATCGTTGTAATCGAGGGATGGGATTATGGAACTCAGGGTCACCATTTTGAAGCGCTGCCTGCGAAGATAACAATTTAGACGGCGTAGATCGAGAATGGGTCTCCAGCCCCCCATTTTCTTTTCTGTTAGGAAGTATCTCGAATAAAACCCTCTTCACTTGAACTGATCTGGGACCCTCTCTATCGCTCCGATGGCAAGGAGACGATGAGCTTCCTATCGCAGGAGGTTTTCGTGAGATGTGTCCCTGAAAAGGGACGGGGAAGGTGGGATGGTGGGGGGAATGGAAGTGAAGGGAATGGTGAAACCGATCTTTATGACTTCTAGTACCCATTTGTCCGATGTTATTTTGACCCATTGGTGATAGTAGGGTCGTAAGCGATGGTGGAAAATGGGACTTGTGTGCACAACAACGATTGGTAGCATTCACTTGCCCTCGATAAAAGAGTCAAACTTGCTGTTTAGAGGTGGACGTGCCCGACACTCTAGGTGGTGGTGGGCACCTTCGCTGAGGCCGCTGTCTAGGTCGGGACTGGTCGAACGGGCGATTTTGCTGTCTCCGAGGCTGGTAATTGTACCGTCTTTGATACGGGAAATAACGACGACAGCGGAATGGGGGTACATACATTCCCAGTGTACAAAGTGTTGTTCTTGAATCTTTGCCAGTATGAAGTACCTCGTCTGTCTTCTCTGTAAATAATTTTACCCTGTCAAAAGGAAGGTCCTCAACCTTGGAGTGTAGCTCCTTGGGTACCGCTGCTGTGGCGAGCCAGGACAAGCGTCTCATAGACACTGCTGTTGCTACTCCTCGAGCCGCTGTGTCCGCCCCATCCCTAGTACCTCATCTGTCTTCTCTGCAAATAATTTTACCCTGTCAAAAGGAAGGTCCTCAACCTTGGAGTGTAGCTCCTTGGGTACCGCTGCTGTGGCGAGCCAGGACAAGCGTCTCATAGACACTGCTGTTGCTACTCCTCGAGCCGCTGTGTCCGCCACATCCATAGCTATCTGGAGATTAGCTTTTGAACACGCATAGCCTTCCTTGAGGATCGTCCGTAACAGCTCTTTATTGGCATCCGATGATCTTTGGGCCAGCTCTGTAAGCTGCGCGATATTATCGAAACTATGGTTCGCCAACAGGGCTGCATAATTCGCTATGCAAAGAAGCCAACGTGGCCAATGAGTATACTTTGCGGCCAAATATATCCATTTTTTTTGCCTCCTTATCTGTCCCTACACTTTTCAGCTGTGGGTTCTTAGCCCTTTGGAGAGCTGCATCGATGACCAAGGAGTTTGGCTGAGGGTGGGTAAAGAGGAATTCTGAGTCTTTAGATGACACAAAATAACGTTTTTCCGCTGGTTTCGAAGTTGGAGCTGTCGAAGCTGGGGTATGCCAAATTTCTTCTGCTAACTGTAGGATTGCCTCATCAATAGGGAGAGCGACCTTAGATTGTTGTTTAGGATGTAAATTTCTCCAGAGTTTGAATTGTTTCGTCTGGACATCTGATAGTTGGACGTCCTGAGACTGGGTACTCTTCTAAAAAGATCCTGAAATTCCTTTGTGTCATCAGGAGGAGAAGAATCTCCTGCAAACACAGCATCGTCTGGGGATGACGAAATATCTTCTGGAGATACAGTATGCAGGCGATGGTCCATATCCAAAATTTGTCCTTCCTCGGGCTCCGACAGGTGAGCTGGGGCCGAGGGGGTCTCTGACAGAGGTCTCGCACTCCGACATTCCTGGATTGGAGGTGATTGTTGTGATGCACAAGGGGCTTGACAGCAGCACAGACGGGACCGGGACTGAAATCTACCGTGTTCATAGGATGAACGGTGGCTCCTGTAATTAATGTGCTCCGGGGACGATCGTCGCGAGGAGTATCTGCTAGCATACCTCCTATGATAAGATCTTGGAGGAGAGTAGCTAGGTGAGCGAGACCGATATGATCCCTGATGATAATAGGGATACCGGTCGCAATGGCCAGAGTGACGAGACCTTGATCTCCATCGCGGAGAACACATTGCCTGACCGTGAGACATTGAGTAATCTCTGACCCCCGCTGAATGACACGGTGAAAGCAAAGGTTCAGGTGAAAATTTTGGTGATGGTGAAATGGAGTGTCTTGGCATTGACTTTCTAGCAGACTTCGTAGGGACCTTAGATGCATGGGCATCTTCCCTCCCTTGTAATAGTAAAGAACGGGGGGAGAGGGGAGGGGATTGACCCTCCGTCCTGTGCACTGTGGTATCATGCCACTGAGCCAGGCTCGCACGCGGGGCCGTGGGCAGCTCCCTGTCTGCCAAGGCTGTTGAGCGCAAGCGATTTCCCGGTGCCGACTCGGTGCGCTACGGGACGCCCTGCTGTTGGGCCCACTCATGCTCCTCCTCGGGCCCGTCACTAATTGCCGACTCCGGCGCCGGCTGCAGTGCCGGCTTGTTATGAGCCATCGGCGCCACTTGCGGTGCCGCTGTAGATTGCGGCTGCACAGTCGGTCCCGGTTCAAGCACCTCCGGCGGTGCCGATTGCTCTCGGTAAGCCAAACGCTTAAAGGCGTTCAGAGCCGGTGCCAATGACGATCGGCTCAGAGGTGCAGGCATTGCCGACAGTGCCCAGTGTGGCGTTTCTTGGTGCCCCATCACTCCGGACGTACCTGGCTTCTGTCCCTGACTGATCCGGGACAATGAAGTGGCTGGAAGAGAGCGTGACGGAGACACTCTCTTTCTCTTTGACCCCATCACCGCTGGCGATCGCGATCTCCTTTCTGCCCTGCGGGAGGTTCTGACACCTGGTCATTAGAAGCTGTAAGGCCTTATCGCACAGTAGGAGTTTCATTCTCATGTCTCTCTCCCTGCGTGCTCTGAGTGTCAATTTCGCGCAATGGGCGCATTTCTGTGGTACTTGCGATTCTCCTAGGCATCTGATACAGGTCGCATGCCCGTCAGACGCCGGCATCGCTTCCTTACATTGCGCACACCGTTTAAACCCGGATGAGCCGGACATGATGTTAACAACTTAACTATATACAAGTAAACTAATAGTTTTCTTTAAAAAAAAAAGTTTAACAATTGAACTACTAACTAACTAACTAACTATAGGTACTAGAATTTAAACTGTCTATAATAAATTCCCTTTTTTTTTTTTTTTAAGAACGGCTTTTCTCTGAGGAGATAAGCGGCGCTCCGCCAGCAACCACAGGCAGTTGAGAGGAAGTGACGAGGGGGGGCCGGACTGTGAGACGTTGCAAAGGCGCAAACGCCACGCTCTGCTCTCAGGCATGTGCGGTCCGGCCCGGCTACGGCTCTGGAAATCTCTGACTAGCGGTGCCGGGTCAGGACCTGACACCTTGAGTGGAGCACCCACGGGGACCACTCGAAGAAGAACTATATTTAGTTTAAACAAAAAACTTCACCAAAGAATCAATGCCCACAAAACAGATATTAGACAGGATCACAAAGAAAAAACACTTTCTTGCCATTTCAACCAGAAAGGACATTGTCTCAATGACTTGATTACCTGCATCCTGCTTCAAAGACCTTTTCAGACCACACTTGAAAGAGAATCCTCTGAACTGTCATTCATACTTAAATTCGACACTTTACGCCTAAGTTTAAACAAAGACATTAATTATCTTACCCATTACAAAGATAGCTTCTCCAATTATCACCGCTAATATCATTAGCTCACAGACATTTACGTCCCCCCTCCCCCATTCCCCTTCTGTTCTGAAATTTGATTTGTCCTTTTCATGTGTGTTCATTTTTTTTAATTGTATCCTTTGGTATATATGGTTGTGACAATTTTCTTCCACTATTTGATCTGAGGAAGTGGGTCTGGCCCACGAAAGTTCATCACCTAATAAACCATCTTGTTAGTCTTTAAAGTGCTACATAGTCCTGTTTTTTGTTTCAGCTACACCAGACTAACACGGCTACATTTCTGTCACTATATTTAGTTTATGTCTCTTAATCCACTTTTGCTGTATTATTGTGCTCTTTCCAGTTGCATTGTTATACTGTCTGACATACATGCATTGGGTGTCCCATGTATATGTAAAAGGGATCAGAACATGCCAATATTATGACATACAACAAGGCTGTGTATTTCTGTATTACTTTTTGTCGTATTCTATTATACTATACTATAATTGCTCTTCTTTTTAAGAAACATAAATTCTGGTTTTGAAGAATAACTGTTTATCCTCTGTGTTCTCAAATTAGGGATTAGCAGGATTAGGCTGCTCCGGAGAGTCCTCCGTGGGTCAGAGATAAACCACCTGGCAATACTCTGGAAATTCCTATAGGGTGGGCTATCCCCTTCTGCCCATTTGGGCCAACTAACAAAAGTGCCTTGGATCCAGAATTGTTGGGTTAACAATACTAGTAAAACCACCAGCAATGTTATGCTCTAAATATAAGATGTCTCAAATATTTAAGCTTTCCCAAAAAGAGAAAGATCTCTTCAATAGCAGAGCATAAGACTTTAGTAATATAAATTATACGTATGAAGACGTGGCCAGGCATACATGCTGCTATGGAGCAGACATGCATGAATGTTATATTATAGCAATGATTACTTCTTTTACTTTTATTTTCTTAAATATATAAGTTTAAGGTATTCATATTTATCGTGCAAAAATTAGAATTTTCATCAATCTGACATAAGGGTAGCCTAAAAAAATATTACTGAAAGTTTTAAGTCTTACACTATTGAACAGAGGGAACACAGAACTGTGACATTGTGAGGCTGAAAGCAAAATTTTGGAGCTTGAGGTTCTTGCATACTGAAAGCAGTTTTCTTTACTAATTTTCTCCTCTGACACACGTTCCAAAAGGTCACTGCTAAATGAGTGATTTATTTCTTCAATTTCTTTTTACCTTTCTACTGTGCATGCTTATTGGATAACTAGAAACAACATTTCTTCAGTTTGTTCTGTGCATTAGTAGTAGCATGTGCCATTGCTGGGTTTGGGGATAGATTTCACCCACTCCTCTCTAACAATTTCTTGTACTCTCATTAGCAGGAGGCTAAAATGATTTCTCACTCTCCCCTGTATCAGTTCCTGTCTCTTCAATCACTCAGAAAAGCTCTACCAACGTCAACTGCCTGACATAGAGAGTGTGTTTACACATCAATTTAGGTCGAGGTCTGAACTCAGGGTCAAGCAAAAATGTGCTAACCTTGCACTCAAACCCAGGATCCTGTAAGTCTGAACCTGTGTGGCAACCAGCTTGTTATGGGAGATTTTGTAAGACCAGCAAAAGTCCTATCCCGCTGTCAGTAACATGGACTATTGATTATCATGTTCATTGCCCAAAGCTCTAGGCCCTTTGTAGCAACCTTAGCATAACTAAGTAAGCCAGAGGGGAGGAGGTTGAATGGCTACAAGTGAACATGACTCTTCTGCCATCCTGTTTGTTTTTAAAATTGTTGAAGCATGTGGCTTAGAAAAACAGGAAAGCCTATAGTCTACCTATGCTTGATGGCTGATATAAAAAATACAGCTGTACAAAAAATGACGAAGTTGATTTCTTAATTTTCTATTTTTTTGACATTTTAGATTGATATTTTGTTGTAACATTTGTAGGCATAAAATGAGTAAAAGATAGTGGGGACAGGAGGAGGAACAAAGGACAAAAGTTAAGTGGACTCTTTAGTGAATCCATCAAAATATCCCCAGTGACAGACAGGGGGCTGGCCACTAGAAACCTGTGTCTGACCCAGAGACCACTCCAAACTTTGTGTTAGCTACCAATTTCCTGACATCTTCAAAAGAGAACTGTCAGGCAGTTGTCTGTGTATATTCCATAGCATAACAAGCATGGACCTAACTGCTGTGGCAAACATTGCAAATATCTCACGCATTATACTACAATTTTTCCAAAGCTTAGACAGGATGCAGGAACTCTCTGAAAGGAGCAATGGGCATAAGTTGGCAGCGGTTGGGTCTGTTGATAGAGTGGAACACTGATTTTGGTCCCAGAAGATTAGAACAAACTGGTAGGATTGCATAGTTATGCAGCTATGAGACGATGACCAGGGGCTACTAAACTTTCACATGTAAAAACACTTTAATGGAACTTTGCAAATTGCTTTCCCTCTCCCTGAAGTGCAGCAATACCAGAATGAGTGCCACTATGACAGCTGAGGAGTGAACAATGATAGCCCTATAGAAACTCGAAACACCAGACAGTTACCAGTTAGTTGGGAACAAATTTGAGTGGACAAATCTGTAGCAGGGGCTGCTGTGATCCAAGTAGCCAGAACAATCAATACCTTTCTGCTATGAAAGATAGTGAATCTGACAAACATGCAGGACATTGCGTAGGGCTTTGCCACAATGAGGTCTCTTAACTGTGGAAAGGTAATGGATGGAATACATTCCTATCTTGTCACTAGACCACCTTGCCAAAGAGTACATAAACCATAAAAGGTACTTGTCAATGGTGTTACAAGAGCTGGGGAAATACAAGGGGGCTACGTCTACACTGGCACCCTTTTTCGGAAATGCTTAAAATGGATCAGTTGTCTGTTATAAGTATTTCCGGAAAAAGCGTGTTTACATTGGCAGGATGCTTTTCTGGAAAAGCACTTTTTCCGGAAAAGCATCCGTGGCCAATGTAGATGCGCTTTTCCGGAAAAAAGCCCCAATCGTCATTTTCGCAATCGGGGCTTTTTTGCAGAAAAGACTACTGTGCTGTCTTCACTGGCCCTTTTCTGGAACAGTTTTTCAGAAAAAGGACTTTTGTCCGAACGGGAGCAGCATAGTTTTTCCAGAAAAACACTGACAATTTTACAGTAGATCCTCATTGCTTTTCCGGAAAAGCAAGCGGCCAGTGTAGACAGCTGGCAAGTTATTCCAGAAAAGCGGCCGCTTTTCCGGAATAAGTGGCCCAGTGTAGACACAGCCGGGCTGTTTCACCACCATCAGCATGGGATGGTCAAAAAAGGTGCATGCATTGTTAGGAATTTCAGTCTCTTTAGAAAACTCCAAGATATAGCTTTCTTTCCAGACTGGAAAATTAACATTGGAGATATTCAAATACAATAGTTATCTTCAGAAGCCCTCCGTACCCCTTACTCCCATGCCTCATAAAACTGTACACACTCTGCTTAGACAGCAATAAGGAGTAGTTCAATTACAAGCTGAACAAGTGCTGAATGGTTATAGGTCATGCTTTTAGCTATTGAAAGGGAAAATGGTGCAGTTTGTCTAGGTTAGTTCTGTGAAAGCAAATTACCATTGGTGTTGCTGTTTGCTGTATAGTACATGTGTGTGAAAGTTTAAGAGGTTGAAGGATATCACCTCATGGTTAATTAAGAACAGCTGGACACCAGAGCAATAAGGTGAACACTTGAAGGTCACTGCAAAGCAGAGAGGCTTTGAAAACCAGTTTAATCAATTATATGAGTCTTGTGTTATATATGTTCTTAACAAGTTGCCCCCTGCGGTACTGGTACTTGTACTGGTCTGTCCACTGAATTCTTTTCCACCAAACACAGGTAGCACACTGAACAAAGATCCCATTGTTCTGAAACACTATTTTTCTTTAGAAAACACAGGCAGAGACTTTAAAGGCATAAGGTCTGGTGGCAGCGCTCTCTCTCTCTCTCTCCCCTCCCCCCACCCACCGGCCATTAGTCGGGAAGGGGAAACTTAGGGGCTACATCTACACTGGCATGATTTTCCGGAAATGCTTTTAACGGCAAAGCACCTTCGGAAAAGCATATCTAGATTAGCAGGACGCTTTTTGCAAAAAAAAGCACTTTTTGCAGAAAAGCATCCATGGCCAATTTAGATGTGCTTTTCCGCAAAAAAGCCCCAATCGCCATTTTCGCGATCAGAGCTTTTTTGCAGAAAACAAATCTCTGCTGTCTACACTGGTCCTTTTGCGCAAAAGTTTTTCGGAAAAAGACTTTTGCCCGAACGGGAGCAGCATAGTATTTCCGCAAAAGCACTGACAATCTTACATGAGATCCTCAGTGCTTTTGCGGATATTCAACCGGCCAGTGTAGACAGCTGGCAAGTTATTCCAGAAAAGCGGCCGCTTTTCCGGAATAAGTGGCCCAGTGTAGACACTTTACTTCATTGTCTCTGTGCTGTAGCACAAACGCCTCGAGCCCGCACATCACAAAAAACTTCAGATTCAAACCCAATGCGGACACCTAATGCTATTTCCCAAACTCTTCACGCCAAGGGCGCCCCACCAATGCAGGAACCAAACCAAGCAGCGCCCACTCCCCCAGCTTCCTTCCGCGCCAGACAGCCAGAGACCCCGCCCGCCTCCCAGAGCAGCGCGGCTAAGCGGCATGTACGCCCCAGAAGAAGGCCGCGCCCACCCTTAGGGAGCACCGCAGCACATCACAGAGCCCAACCCCACACGCTACTGCGTAAGCGGAGTGCAGTCCCTCGCCTTATATACGGAGTGAAACGCCGCGCGCCGCCGCCTCTTTGGCGTCGTGTCTCGCGAGAATGCCTCACGACCTCTCGCGAGAATGAAGGGAGGCGGCCTCTAGGGGAGATGGAGGCGCCGCAGCGCGTGCCTGCCGGGCTCCCTACTATAGTGGCGGTAACTTCCCCCTCCCACCCTGGCGAGGAGCGCGAGGGGTGGGGGCGGAGCTTCCCCGAGAACGGGAGGGGCTGGGGGGGCCCTACGGGGGGGGGGGGGG